CTTGCATCTCAACAATGCCTGCCGATATTCGATCCACTGTTTTCTCACAACGTTCAAATTGTACACTTTTACCGGCAAGGCATTTTAATTCACTTTCAATTGAGTCTAACCTCTGATCCGTAAGAGCAATGTAGTCGTCGAGCTTCTTTCTAATTGTTCCCATCACCTCAAGTATTTCTTTTTGACCTTTAAGTAGCTCCTGCATTGCAGAATCATTAGGGCCCGGGTTCATTTCAATGTCCCCACTCAGAAGCAATACCAACATACACGCAGCATCAAAGCACTCGGCCACTCCATCACAAAAGGCTCTTGGGCAAGGCAACACCACCAGGCACCGGAAACTCGTGGTGCATTTGGAATAGGAATGTTTTTTACTACCCTGCAGAACGTACAAGAGCAGATTATTCCGTGGCCGCATGCTGGCGGTGAAACCCTGCCCAATGCCGCTGTAAACGTGGGGGGCGTATCTCGAGGCCTCGCCTGTCGCTGTCGATTTGGCTGTGTAGTTCAAAGCACCGGAAACCAAAACTTGAGCTGGCCACCGAATCCAGGAAAATTCATCTGTGCAGCAGAATTCAGGACTGCGCTGATTGGCGTCGGGTGACAAAATCACTGGCAGCAGGCTTTCCGGTGACCATCCATCCGATGATAACCCCAGGCACAAGGCGAGAATCTGCAGAACGTACAAGAGCAGATTATTCCGTGGCCGCATGCTGGCGTTGAAACCCTGCCAATTACAATCTCGCCACCGTAACGTAGGTTTGGTGGGCTAACCTTCTCAGTACCACATCGTCTCATATATTTCCAAAACCTTTTCTTATTAGAAAAGTCAGCGGCCAGACTCTTAAAATACTTTTTCTTGGTTTCTTTCAGTTCCATTTTATAAAGTGATGTCAAATCTTTCATTTTATTAAAATTTTCAGGGGATTTTTTTTGGCAGTATCGGGAAAAAGCCCTCTTGCGCTTTTTGATAAGCTGAATAAGATGCCCCTTAATCCAAGGTTTCTTCGTCCGCAATTTCGCCTCCATTATCGTCCCCTTGACCAATCTTCTTGCCGGAAGTTCTGATTTATCAGCGTGGTCGCAGGCATGTGATGATGCATTTCAGGAACTCCGACGGCTCCTCACCACGCCTCCTATACTCCGACATTTCGATCCGTCTGCTCCAACAGAACTTCATACGGACGCTAGTGGTGCCGGGCTAGGGGCCATACTGGCCCAACGCAAGGATGGCTTTGATGAGTACGTCGTTGCCTATGCCAGCCGCACTTTTAGTAAAGCCGAGAAGAATTACAGTGTAACTGAAAAGGAGTGCCTCGCCATTATTTGGGCAATCGGGCAATTTCGGCCTTATATAAATGGACGTCCATTTGATATCGTAACAGACCACCATGCGCTTTGCTGGTTATCTTCACTAAAAGATCCTAATGGTCGGCTCGCTCGTTGGGCATTGGGGTTCCAGGAGTTCGATATTCGTGTTATCTACCGTTCTGGCCGGAAGCATTCTGACGCCGTTGACCTGTCACGTTCGCCATTGGCTTCAGAGCCTGTCCGCTTGCCTATCTCCACCAGTGCTGCCTTGGCCATCAGCATTTCGGACATGCCTTCTGAGCAACGCAAAGATGCTTGGATTTCTTCTCTTTTGGACTTTCTCTCAAACCGGACGCCCGCTCCAGTTTCCAGGACGCTTCGCCGTCAAGCAGGACACATCGCTATTCGGGATAACCTGTTTTACCGCCGAAACTACAGCTCGATCGGTCGTAAGTGGTTGCTCGTCATTCCCCGACATCTGCGCTCTAACATTTGTGCCACGTTCCACGATGATCCGCAATGTGGCCACGCTGGTGTGTTAAAAACATACACTCGTTTGAAGCTGCGGTACTACTGGCGCGGTATGTACCGTTTCGTTCGCTGTTACGTAAGGTCTTGCCTTACGTGCCACGGACGCGAAATCTTCACTCAACATGCCACAGGTCCCTTGCAGCCGTTGCCACGTTCAGCACGAGCTTTCAATTGTGTCGGAATCAACTTTTACGGTCCGGTTCCCTATACTTCAAATAGCAACCGCTGGGTCATTGTCGCTATCGACCACCTAACGCGGTACGCTGAAACAGCTGCGTTACCTTCTGCTACCGCAAAAAACGTTGCATGTTTTATACTGCAAAACCTGGTTTTGAGGCATAGAGCACCTCGGGAGTTACTAAGCGATGGCGGCCGTGTTTTTCTCTCCGATGCCATCGAAGCGTTGTTGAGCGAGTGTCGCATCATACACCGCACTACCACAGCCTATCACCCGCAAAATAATGGGATGACAGAGCGTTTTAATCGTACACTTGGGGATATGCTGGCCAAGTACGCTTCATCCGACCAGTCAAATTGGGATAGCATACTGCCTTTTGTGACATATGCCTACAACACTGCAACGCAAAGCACCACTGGATTTACGCCTTTCTTTCTTGTTTATGAACGCGAGCCATCATCTACAATGGATACAATTCTTCGTTATCGACCGGACCCTTCAGAGATGACTACCGCTTCTCGAGCAGCAGCACACGCTGAAGAATGTCGGAAGCTTGCTCGTGCGTTCACGTCACATGACCAGACGCGCCAAAAACATCGCCTCGACGCGTCAACCACGCCTATGAGCTTTGCTCCGAACTCACTGGTGTGGTTATGCATTCCTTCTACTCCTCTAGGACTCTCCCACAAGCTTTCGTTCAGGTGCCATGGCCCTTATTTAGTTGTACGTCAAACATCCCCTGTCAACTACCTTCTCGAGCCGCTGGATGCATCTCCGGACAAGCGCCGTCGGGGACAAGAAATCGCACAGATCTTTTGGCTCAAGCCATACCATGACCCTTCTTTGTACACCTGTCCTTAGGTTGCCAGGATGGCTCCCTCATAACTCGGGGGTGATTGTAACGAGGGCAGTGGGCATGGAACTCGAGTATAGAAAAGGAAGAAGACTTGCGGAGATCGCAGGCTTGCGTTCAGTTAGCCCTGCGCTAAATAAAGCTCTCGTTCACCGAGTCAACTCCCGCTTGGTCAACAACCGGTTTCAATATATATGTATATATATATATATATATATATATATATATGAGCCAGAAACCGAACAAGTGGCGAAAGGTTACGATGTTGATGATCATGATGACACGATGACTTGTATGCGCGGGTGAAGATGATGAACTAAACAGTCAGCGCTCATGCTATTTATATTTCGCCCTTACACAAAAGCCGTCAGCAAAACGTCCTTTTAGTAAGGGCACGAGCGCCGCATTAAGACTTCAGGCGAGACACGTGGATGATCTCGGTCCTGCGACGACGGCGATCAGAAGCCGAAGTAACTGGAGCGACGCGATAATTCACGGCTGATGTTTGTTCAAGCAGAGTGTAAGTACCCAGGTATCTGTGTACTAATTTTTCGCAGAGGCCGGGTGTGCGAACAAGTGGCCGGAGGAGCACTTCGTCGCCCAGGTAGAATGACACAACTCGACGTGTGGCATCACAAAAAACTTTTCGCTAGGTCTGAATGATAGGAGTATTGGCGCGGTCGATTGTGCAACAGTGGTTGACATAGGCAGCCAACTCTTCTGGAGAGAACGCAGATGAGACAGAGGGCGTGGACAAGAAGCTGGTATCTAGAACAAAAGATGATGCACGGTCATGCACAAGAAAAAAAAACGGGCCGTAACTTGTATAGCGTTGTATGGCAGTGTTATAGGCAAACGTGACGAAAGGTAGTATTGGGTCCCAGTTTCTGTGATCGCGTTGGACATACATAGAGATCGTGTCTGACAAATTTTTATTAAACGCTCAGTGAGACCATATTTGTCTCTATGTACATATTCGGTCATACACTTGTGCAGACGCTAACTTTCTCAATTGAAGATGAAGCTTGAAGCACGCATGACTCCTGGTATTTAGAGTGTACAAACCATACAACAAAAAGGTAAGATAGCTGACGCCGCGCAAAAATAGGTGATTTCTTTCGAATTTATGCTTGGACACGCGCTAGCTTCCATTTTCTATAAATAGCTATCTTCTTTCACACTAGTTAACAAGCGCGAAAGAATACATTGTAAGTATGAAAAAAAGCTGGCTGCTTACATTAGCGCTGATACACTTGTCCATTAGTAAGCCCTTCTTGCTGGCCCTCATCAGTAAGAATTATTTACTCTAGGCAAAATACTTCCATGTAGCATATACATTACGAGTTAGCCCAATAAAATGCCGCGCAAGTCACATGCTCAATGCATGGTCCATTTTGTAATCAATGGAACACAGAGCACAACTTCTAGAACCAAGGGATTGCAGCACTATTTTTCAAGGCAATTTAGGCCAAAACATTTACAGCATTTTTGAAATTTGTCTGCCTCGCTTCAGGTGTACATTGACTATACATGGTTTGTAAGAGGTGACAGATTGGGACATACCTGCACACATCATTGTGTTCATTAGCTTTTCTGTTTCATTTCAGGATTCTTAAGGTGACTTTCCTTTCATGCAATACAGCACACTATTCTTTTGGAACAATTCTTCCGTTTGATATCCGAGCGCAATAATTTTATTTTAGGAATGCGGTATGCCGGGACGTGCTCGCTGTGTATCATATTTATAGATATGTGACTGCTTTTTAAAAAGATTTGATAATGCTTCAGCAGATCTAATATTTATGTTAATGATTCCTTGTTCATTCCACCAACAAATGGAATCGCGTGTCGTGCTAGTGTGCTCTACCAATGAAGACACGTCTTTCGCAACAGGGTAGCGCCCCTGCTGCTGCGCCTTCGGGTGATGCTAGGTAATAATTCATAAATACCAAAGAACTACATGATTAGTTGAATGAAATGATCACGTTATGTTTACACATGCTTACTGCCGAAGCAGAGTTGTGAGACACTTTTGAAGTTTGTTCGCATTGATTATTCAGTTGCGACATTATTCCTTTTACGAAGTTGGCGATGGAACCTTTATTTCTCGTCCATACGATACTGCAGGGCCACAACTTGTGCTGGCCGTATACGGCTTGGACGCATTCGCCAACGATGTCGTACGTGGTTACGGTGCTGTGCACGTACCTCCCATCGCCGGAACGTGAGTCACTAAGCAGAACTCTGGACGTTTCTCCCAAATGTCCAGAAATCATTCTGTCTTCAAACTCCGGGGGACACTTAGTGAAGCCAAGCTTCGGGATTGCTGGCTTTACATCACGCAAAAGAAACCGAGCGTTCGCGTTTCTTACAAAAGGGCAAAGAAAACGACTAGGGCATTCGCTGTCTTTCAAGGAAACTTTTATTGAACACGGTTGGCATCTATGTGGCAGGAAAGCTTATAACAAGAAGAACTGGAAGGGGCGAAGCATGTAGGAAAAGGTGTTCTAGCTCCACTAACAGGAAGTTTTGCGAGGGTCGACGCATGCAGTGTTTTCCTGCTGCTTCTCCTTGCTCCTACGTGCGCAGTGTCATTTTCCGACGGCATGGCAGGGAAGGCTGTTTATATCCCGCTAATGTCATTGGCTATTTATTGGACCATTTGATGACCTCTTCATTTTTAGTTACCGGTGGCGAGTAGTGAGATTCACCCAATTTCTGTGGTGCGTAGTCATTTTCGTGATGAACCGTGTCTACATCACAAACAATGGTGACATTGGACGCCGATAAGCTGACACTCCGACGTGTTTCACCACGTGATGATTACGGTGTCATTTAGTCACAAATAGGGTCAGATATTATTTGACTTGATTGATCGTTTTGCATTAACACACATGTTCAACATAGTGGTGAATGGAGGTCGGTGAGAAATGAAAGCTGCACAAACGTTGCTTATGGGAGACCTCACCCTCTTAGAGCAGTGAGGCTACAAATGGTCAGACCCACATAATAATACACATAATAACACATCAATAGTAATTTTCCACTAACCCTGAGAGGAAGGTACATAACTGCTGCATCTCGCCAGTACTTACCTATGGAGCAGAAACCTGGAGGCTTACAAAGAGGGTTCAGCTTAAATTGAGAGCAACGCAGCGAGCGATGAAAAACAAAAATGATGGGCGTAACATTAGTAGACAACAAGAAAACAGAGTAAGTCAGGGAACAAAGCGGCGTTAAGGATATCCTTGTTGACAACTAGTAGAAGAAATGGACAAGGGCCGGGCACGTTGCATGTAGGTAGGATATAAATTCAGAATTCATAATAGCAAGGTATCCTTCTTTGTCGGCTACTAGTACATGCAGTTTGTTTTCACAAAGAAAATCAACTAACGGCCCTAGCGAGTCCGTGCCCCCTGTAAATAGGTTCACAATAGATCCTAACCAACTGGCCGAAATTACCGTTTTACGGCAGGATATAACCGCTTGTCATTAGGTGTAGCTGGCTAGACTTCCAGAGAAACACGAAGGGGAGACAGAAAGTTGGTGTACCGATGAGAATTAAACGTTCGCAGAGATAACGTGGCAACGGAAAGCACAAGACCAGGTTGACCGGCGGATCATAGGTAAGGCCTTCGCTTTGAAGTGGGCGTAGTCAGGCTGATGATAATGATGAATACTACACAATAATATTAGACTAATACATTGACTGGTACGGTAGTTATACAATGCGAAGCGGTTATAGGTAATTCAGATGACCTGGCAGTCTTGGTTAAGCTACACTCATTGAAGTACAAAAATGATGTTAAATACACAGGTGTACCAATCTTTAATTCTTTCAGTGACACAACCATCATAGAAAGATTGGAGATATGCTATGACGAGCTTTGCCAAAAATGTTCATCTGGGTTTGAGGGACGTTGACGGTGTGTGATTAAAGTTGAATAACACTGCGCATGCGCGAAGGGTGCTGTTTGTTGCTTTCAAGAAAAGAAAGTATTTAGTATAAAACCCTTAATTACATGGTACATTGTCTACACTAAAAGAAGAATAAACGGCTTTGTAAATCTTTAAAAACCACAAGAGCATGACACTATGTTCTCTTATCGCCGATCTGTCTCGAGAAGTGAAACAGAAGATGAACATTGAAAAACCCATTTTTGTGCACTGTAAAGCTGATTATCACGTTAAAAGAAAAGAGTCAACGTCTGATTTTTGGCAGTTTACAAGCACGAAGCCATTCAGTCGAGACACATTTGTTATTAAAGACGTTTGAACGTTAGAAGAAACAGAAATAGCCAACGCACTTCATTAGCACTTCGCCTCTGTTGTTGCTTGCGATGACAAAACCATCCCCGCATTTAGTTACTTCAAGTACCTGCCTACTATTGAAAAACTCAAAATTCCACAAGGTGGCGTATTTTAATATTATTAGATTTGAATATAATAAAATCTTATGGCCCACATGACTTACCAATGCCTTTTTGTAGAAATATGTTGAATGGGCCTCATAAATTTAGACAAATGTGTAAAGGAATCGATATTCACTTGTGTCCGTCCTGAATGTTCGAAATTCGACAAAATTAAGCCTTTATTCAAATATGCTGAAAAACCATTGTTTTGTAATAATCACCCAATAGCTTAGACTTGTGCTAGTTGGAAGATATTGAAACACATAATACATACACAATTCCTTCTTTTGGAGTCACACTCAGTACTTACGGCAGCTTAGCATGACTTTAGTCGTGGTTTTTCTATAACAACACAATTGCCTAAAATTATTCATGACTTTGCACGAGGCATGAGTGACCAGCCACAGATAAATGCTGTTTTTAAACTTTGCGGATAATTTCGACTAAGTCTATCATTCCAAACTACTTATGAATTTTTCTCAAGTATTAAAAAGCCCACAAAAAACTTGAGTCCTCGAAAACGCGTCCGCTCGCTCTGTCTCCAGGCGGCGTTGATTCGACGAACATTAAAAAGAACGAAAGTGAGCTCGTGAGCTGGGAACGCGGAGCAACCCATCGACGTAAATTTGGATTTCCCTAAAATACCGCTTTTTGCGCACGTGAACGCGTTTGGCGAATTGGGGTGCGCGAGAGAGAGAGAAGAAACTTTATTGAAGTGTCCCTGCTGGGGTGAAGGGTGGCGAGGGGCCGGGAGACGGGCCCCTCTGTAATCCCCTTCCTGAGGCGGTGGCCAGGCCTTGAATCCTGGTGGCGTCTTCGGCCAGCCGGACAGCCCAGAGCTGGTTCTTCGGTCACGTGCTGAGCAGCGAAGCCTCCCACTGTTTGGCCTTAATGATAGTGAATGTAGGCTTCGTGCTGTGTTTAAGTGAGTGAGTAGCTGCGGGGCAGGCCCATATAATATGGTCGAGCTCGGCGTTAGGTGCACCGCACGCTTTGCAATGTGGCGTGTGAACAGTGGGGTAAATACGGCTGTACAGTGACTGACAGGGGAAAGTGCGTGTCTTAGATGCCAGGTAGTGGACGGCTGCTTACTAAGGCACTTGTCTAGTGGTGCGTGTTTAAGTCTGGCCTTCCAGTAATGCATTAGGATTTGTCCGGAGGTAACCATTCTGTCCCTCGCCTTGTCGCAAAACGCGGAGACCATCATCTCTCGCTCAGCCACGTCAGGTCACGAGGGGTGGGGCTCTGTTGGATGACGTGCCCGGTGGACGAGAGCTTTGGCGGCGTCATGCGCGTGTTTGTTCCCCGCGAGCCCCGAGTGGCTTGGAGTCCAGATCATCTCAACGCGGTGGCGAAGTAACAGAGGTGTACTTGTAAGAATTCGGAGCGCCGGTTGGGAGATCAAACCTTTGGTAAAGTTGCGGAAGGCAGTCTTGTCGCTGATGATGCGGGATGCTGGGTTGAAGCATAGGAGAGAACGGTGACTGCTTTTTCGCCTTCTTAGTGTTTGTTTACGTGAATGGTGTTAGTTGCGGTAATTATGTATTGCGGCCCGGTGGTGAAAGCGAGGGCAACGACCCGATGCGTAGGATATTCCGCTGCGTCTTCATACGGCACGTGCGTGGCTTTCGCGTAGCGCTTACCTAGTTGCTTGGCACGGTCTACTCGTATTTCTGGGTTATATTCAGGGTGCATACAGCGTGGTATGGAGGGAATCAGGAAGGTGTCCCGAGTGTCCGAAGGAATTGTGAGTTTCTGGCCAAACTGGGAGACGTAAGATATGCCGCGTGAGCACATGAGATGACGTCCTGTAGGAGTTTGGCCTGATCGTTCGTAGTGCGATATACGTTGGCTTCAATGAATTCGTCTATATATTGTGAAGTCCAAGGTCATTGAGTTTCGCATAGGGCGTAGACTTGAGGAGATGCAACTCGCACTTGTAGCAGCGCCTGATCATTATGTTCAGTTTTTTTTCTTGTCCGTGGGCGTAAGTTTTATGAATGGAGCAACGTAAAATATTCTGCTTAAGGAGAAGGTGGTCAACAGTCGTATGAGATTGGCCTATTAATTATGTTCAGGCGTGGTGCGAAAAATTGGGAATGAAGTTTAATGCCAAAAAATCCGTTTTTATGAACATAACTAACAAAAAGAATAAGCTGTCCTTCCCTTACAATCTTTCGTCACAACCGTTAGAATAAGTATCAGAATGTAAATATCTTGGCGTCACTATAACAAATAACTTGAGCTGGAACAAACACGTAACAAACACATGTGCAGCTTCATTCTGAAAACTTTGCTTCCTTAGACATAAGCTTAGAAAGGCCCCAACAAACGTTAAGCTACTCGCCTATACATCCATAATTAGACCGCGACTGGAATACGCCTGCACTGTCTGGGATCCTCACACAAAAAGTAATATTAATGCTCTGGAAATGATACAGCGTAAATCCGTTCGATTCATTTTTTCAAGCTATCGTCCCAGTGACTCGCCGACAAAATAATGGAAGAGCATGGCATTCCAACACTTCAATCACGCCGTCAAATTCAAAGGTTAAAGTTTCTATTCTTGCTTAAAAATAACAAACTTTCACTTAAACCCCCGAGGAATTCCTTCAGCCACTCACTTCCCGACAAACACGGCATAGACACCCCCAACCTCTGACTCCGTACAGCGCTCGAACTAATATTTTTAAGTTTTCCTTTTTTCCGCGTACTATTACAGATTGGAATAAACTAATTGAATCGGCTGTGACCAATATTCACTCCTTTGAACATTTGGAATTCTGATTGCTTTGTTTTGCAACTTCGATGT